CTCTGAAGTGTGGTGCTCTTGTCTCTGAAGTGTGGTGCTCTTGCCTCTGAAGTGTGGTGCTCTTGTCTCTGAAGTGTGGTGCTCTTGTCTCTGATGTGTGGTGCTCTTGTCTCTGAAGTCTGCTGTGAAGTCTGGCGCTCTTGTCTCGGAAGTCTGGCGCTCTTGTCTAGGAAGTCTGGCGCTCTTGTCTCGGAAGTCTGGCGCTCTTGTCTCGGAAGTCTGGCGCTCTTGTCTCCGAAGTCTGGTGCTCTTCACGTATCTCTGATGTCTGGTGAGTTAAATTTTCCCTCTGTTTTATTAAATAATTCAGAATGCCTTGAGCCCTTTGACACTTTTAGCTTAATTTTATTTATTAATTGGATTTGCAATGGATTAATAAACGAGGAAAATAACCAATAAAACAGTACCGAGAAACAAAACGGATTTTATAACTGCCAACTCTTCCGGATTTTCCGGAAGATTTTATTTTCATATTTAAAGTGGTAGTCACTATTAGTCACTATTAGTCACTAAAGTGGTAGTCACTATTTATTTTCATATTTAAAGTGGTAGATCACCACTATTCTTACAAAAATTAAGCACATATATTAATATGCGTTACTGTCATGGTTGTCAACTTAAGTTTTCTCAAATACAACGTATTTGTTTGCTTAAAATTGAAGTTTAAATTCCATTTTAATACCACTAGGAAAAATATAATAATGGAAGGGATTAAAAGTTGGCAGGTATGGTATTCATGCTCAAAATTCGAAGGCATATATCGACGCAATTAATGAGGAGACTGATGAAGGACCAGGTGAATGACATTTATAGAGGAGTTAATGAATAAATTGGTTGCGTCAATAATAATAAATAAACAGGCAATAAAATGTCATAAAGTGGTTACTTCAATCTGTGTATGTTTATTTTAATAGAACTTTTTTTGCTTCGACTTTTATCTTAACATAGGTAATCCATATTAGTTTTTAGTATGCATACCTCATTTTTATTTCAATTAGGCACTGATGAATAAAATAAAACAAGGAATTATTAGACCCACGTTCTAATATATTGGTATAAAATAATTCGGATAAAACTTTATTTCTCGTTCTGAAAATGTCACTTACCTGGGTCTTCCACTTCGTTTTTCACTTAATACAGCTAAATTAATTTCGAATTTCTTTATTTAATATTATATGTTGTAATCTTTGGTGTCTTTACGTTATTGAAGTAAGCTAAGCTCGATGTTTGTAATTCATACCATTGGAAAAAGATAAAATTTATTTAGCATCACTTGACATGATGCTATTGCTCGCGGCCAATTCATGATAGATGCCAACTCATGACGCCACCGGGATATCGTCTGCAGTTTCGATTTCCCATTTCTCAGTGTTTTGTTAGTTGTAGTGTTTTTTTATTAATTTTGTTCATTACAACCAAATGAAAATGGGTTGTTTCTCAACTCGACTCAACTGCTATTTGTTTTGATTGTTATTTTTAATTTCTTTTGATTTAATCGTGGTTATAAACGCTCGAGAATTCATTTCATCTAAGCTGATTTTTTACTTTTCAAAACGAATGCTTCTGTTTGTAAACGAAAATCTGGACAACAATCTAAAACGAGAAAATTCTCTGGAAATAAACATGTTAAAGTAGAATCCGGTAAACAACCTTTTGTGAAAAGGAAAGTGATTCCCAATGCATCCAATAGAAAGTTATCTTTGGGAAAAGAAAAACTTTAGTCTAATATGTCAAATGTAGACTCAAATTTTATTGGCGGCAGACTTTTTGATTTAAATTTATTTTTAAATAAAATTATAAGTCTGTCGTGTTGTGCTGTCTGCCATGGGCAGTATAACATTGTTGAGAAATCTACAAGGGGTTTGGCTTCCACTTTTGAGTTCAAGTGCCAAAAGTGTAAAACTATAGACTCTTTTTTAAGCTGTCAAGAAATGGGTTCTAAAATGAATGCATCAGAAGTAAATCAGCGTTCAGTTTTAGCTCTGAGATCAATTGGGAAAGGACTGAATGATTTACAAATGTTTTGTACACTGATGAGCTTACCATGCCCTGTCGAGCAAAAGAATTTTGATAATATAAATACGAAATTGTGTAGTGCTATCTGTGAAGTTGCGAAGGAAAGCATGGCTAATGCTGCCTCTGCAGAAAAATCATGTACTGGTAAAGATACATCAACTGTCACCGGTGATGGTACATGTGAAACAAGAGGGCACACATCATTAATAGGGACCTGTATTTTGATTGGTTCAGAAGCGGGCAATATTTTAGACATTGAAGTTATGTCCTCATATTGTAAAGTTTGCGATGCATACCAAGGTGCAAAATTTGGAATAAATTGTAAGAGATGGCTCCAAAAACACTTGCCCTTTTGCAAAAAAAACCATTTAGGTAGTGCTGGACAAATGGAAGTGGATGGTATGTTAAAAATCTTCCAGCGTTCTGAAAAACTTCATGGCCTCAAGTATACGAACTACATTGGGGATTGTGACTCTAAAACTTACCTTGCACTGTCTAAAAATAATCCATATGGTGACAGCTTCCCTATTCAGAAGGAAGAATGTGTAGGGCATGTTCAAAAGCGAATGGGCTCCCGGTTACGAACGTTAAAGACATTGTCCGGTAAAAAAAATTTGTCAGATGTTAAAACTATTGGCGGTAAAGGACACTTGACAGATTCCCCTATACAGAAACTGACAATATATTATGGTAATGCTATATGTGAAAACAAATAGTGTGGCTTCCATGAGAATGAGCAGTAGGGGGACATATCTTTTCAACAGATGATGAGCCAATGCATTGATTTTGTCCTAAGGGTGAAAATACTTGGCGATATATTGACTACCTATATATTATGGTAATGCTATACGTGAAAACAAAAAGCAGTGTGGCTTCCATGAGAATGGCCATATGGGCAGTTAGGGGCTATACCTTTTCAACAGATGATGAGCCAATGCATTGGTTTTGTCCTTAGGGTGAAAATACTTGGTGTAAGTATAATGCTGCAGTTATCAAAGGTGAAACAGTGAAGTATAAACACAAGCAATGGATTGCTAAAACAGTGAAAGATGCAGTAAAACCTGTATTCGCCGAACTGTGTAAAACAGAACTTTTAAAACTTTGTTTGGGAGGTAAAACTCAAAATCCCAATGAAAGCATCAATTCAGTTATTTGGAAATATTGCCTGAAAATTATTGGTTGCGGATTAAACGTTGCTGAGATAGTTGCAAATCTAGCAACTTGTGTATTTGAAGATGGACATCAGTGTTTTGGTGCTATTTTTAGTAAACTTGGGATTAAAATAAATAAAGACTTGTGCTTAAATTTGAAGAACATTGACCAAAGACGAATTACTGTTGCCGAAAAGAGGGCTTCCGCAGCTTCTTTTGAAGCTCGTAGAACCAAAAGAATGAAACTTGTGATTCAAAATGAAAAACATATGAAAGATGAAGGTGTAGTTTATGCAATAGGAGTGTTTTAACAGTTAATTTTATGTATAAAAATCAGTTTTACACTTTAAGTTCTAATGCAAGCAAGGAAGTCGAATTTTTAATGTTTAGTTTTATTATACGCTGTTTTTTTCTTTTTATAAGCAGCGCAAAAGTTTTTTTATAGAAATGTTTAGTATTTGTTCATCTTATACATATCCTAACTATGTTGTAATATATTTTAAACATTACAGTGTTTTTTTAAATAATGAAATACTTTTGACAAATAAAACATTATAAATTTGTTTTTCTTTTGAATGATATTTACGTATTTATTTTCTTCTCGTGCACTTAAAATCATACAAGGGAAATATAAATTGTTATTTTTCATATTTAAATTCCTAATTTTACTTATCAAACTACTAAAGTTCAATAATAATTTAGAGTTATACTCAAGTTTTAACAATGGTTCACATTTAATGCAGGACAGAGATACATATTATTCTCAAATACTCTTCCATTTTTAAACTGTTTCTTCAGTTTTTTTTCTTCATATTTTACTAGTTTATACTTGAACAATAAACTCTAAAACAGTTATCCACGAATAATAAAATTTACCATTATGCTTGAAGGCGTTTTTTTATAATTATTTATTTCAAGTGCAATTTCATTGAAATAGAATTACATTGTTTATAAATTTAATGAAATGTATACAAATTAAAGGTGTCATTGGAAGTAATATTTTCATAATTTGATTTTCTAAAAGAGTACCATAATTTTATGTCAATCTAGACATATAAGTATACAGAGAGCAAACCTCTCCAAAGAGAACCATTCACTCCAGTTACAGTTACAAATCTTAATTAAAGTCCAATTCTACAAAAACAAAATGTCTGCAGCTGTGACTGTTCAACCTACAAAAAAATAAAAGGCGTTCCCTCCTGCTGTTACTTTACACTCATTTGCAAACAATGTAATAATATCTATAATGTTTAATTCCGTTTTAACTAAAAAGTTTAAAATAAATGTTTATTTCATATGCATATCATATCTCATTACTGTTAAACATTTCAGATGTCATGAATATTTTACAATAATTTGAAAAAATAAATTTTTTTTTTCAATAAAGGAAGCTCTTGAAAGGTCATGAAAAAAAATTTATGAATATCCACGGTATAAACTCTGATTTTTTTGAAACTTCAAGAATTAGGATTCAACAACCCTCTTTTTCAAACAAATTGCCTCTGTAAGTTTTTTATTTTTCAATTATCTTATTCATGTTATGTTTATTATATTCACTTATTGCATTTTTACTTTAATTTTTTCATTTCATGCAGTTATATATTGATATTTCAGTTATTCCAGCATAAATAGAACACTTATAAACAAGGACCAAATTTCAAAGAGCTTTAAGCAATAGCTTAATCGATTATTTTTTAGTTATTATGTATTAAATTTTAACTTAGTTTTAAGAATAAAGTTAACTAATAAATGTTTACTTTTATAATAGATGAAAATCCTTGTCACAATAAAGTTTACATAAGAATGAAATATTAGAAAAGTATAATTTACTTTCTCAAACTGAATATAAATATAACATTGATTTATAATTCATTTTACTAATATTTGATTATCATAAATTTGAGGGTAAACATTCAGAAATTTTCCTTCTGGGAATTATATTCTACTTCAATTTGTTTGATTGAAAAAATGTCAAAACTAATACAAATCTGATTATCTCAATATATATTTTCAGTAAAAAGCTAATTGAGGCTATGCTTGTAATTAGTAGTGTAATCACTATGACTTTTTAAGAAGCAATAAAAACTAGAAATTCAGTTTATTTTTTCTGAGTGGTTGAATCATATTAATAATGTTGAATAGGGAGTCCAAATGAACCACCCTGAATAACTTTTGATCCAATGATCGCATCTCCGCGTTTTAGGACTCAATCTTTATGGCTCGAGAGGGTGACCTCAAAGATGCTAAATAAGTGCAGATGCTATTTTAACGTAAGAAAGAAGACGCAAAAACGTATAATCTCTGAATAAATTTTTTCCCCGGCGGATTTGGGTTTCTCTTATCCCCAAAACATAAGGCGTAGCCGCTATATAGGAAATATGGTCCTAACAGTTTGAACAGTTTGTTTTTTCACTCAATTAAAATGGTCGCAATTATAATGACACGAAAATTTTTTTAATTGTTAGGTAGAACATTTTTGCCTCATTTTAAAGAATATAATTTTACATCACAAAATACAAAATTTGAGCAAAATCGGTTGAATAATTAATGAGAAATCGAATTTTGTAAAAGTCAGATATCTAAAATTTGATTTCTCAGGAACTATTAGTTTAGTAGTACTCTAGTAGTTTTTATAAACAGTTACCCTTGTTTTATCCTACCCTTTGCTTATCAAATCAGCATTATGTATCTGTTTTTTGAAAAAGATTTGGTTTCCTATTTTCGATAAGAAATATCACTAGATTTTCATGGACACCCGAATTTTGTTTCAATTCGCTTCAGACTTATTAGTGATTAATAGTCTATTTTATCTCTTATCATAAGAATACATACTTTTCATATCTTTGAAATAGGTATTTTTACGAGAGACTCGTGTCTGGTAAATATGAATCAAAAAGTTCTGCAACCCCAAGACCCATAATTTCCTTAGGAATCACTTAACCACACAACATTTTTAAGTAAATGAAGTATATTGTAAAACCAGATAGCAGACCACCTAATAAAACTAATAAGTTAATGACCTATATTTCATTTTCTTGTATTTTCTTTCGTTTTTATGCATTTTACGAGTTTATCTCAGACGACTTTACGAGTTTGTCTAAACACCAGTATTTTTAGATGTGTATATTAGTTTTTAAACTGATTATTTTATTAAAAAAAAAGCAAGTATTTTGATGTCCAAAATACATATAGTATAAATAAATATCAGTATCACAAAAACATTTATGAAATTAGAAAATTTATCATGATTTTCATTTCAACTTTTTTAAATCTATTATTATGCTTACAAACCTATATTTTACAAAAACTCTTTGAATTTTTCTCTTGGAATCCACTCAAGGTTGGCTTTTGGGGCAATTATACATATTCAATGAAATTCTTATATACAACGTAATAGCATTGAAAACTTGTAAGAAGTTTTCTTATGACAACTTATGAAAAATTAAGAATAAGAAGATAAATTTGACTTTAGTAAACANCAGGCCGAATTTACTACCGTTTAGCGGTACCTTCACAAATTCAATTTTAGGTAAAACGGTAGTTTCACAAATTCAACTTTAGGAAAAACGGTAGTTTCACAAAATACTTTTTCTTAAAATTTTATTTTTGTATCCCTTAAGAAACGATAAATTCATATTTTTACCATATTTTTGTGTTGATTTTTTAACATAATTTTAAATTTTTCACAAATTATGTCTAAATTTTCACAAAATAGGTACCTCTCAGAAAAACCTAGACAGACCCCTGATAAATAAATATCAGTATCACAAAATCTTAAAGTATCAGTACACAAAAACATTTATGAAATTAGAAAATTTATCATGATTTTCATTTCAACTTTTTTAAATCTATTATTATGCTTACAAACCTATATTTTACAAAAACTCTTTGAATTTTTCTCTTGGAATCCACTCAAGGTTGGCTTTTGGGGCAATTATACATATTCAATGAAATTCTTATATACAACGTGAAAGCATTGAAAACTTGTAAGAAGTTTTCTTATGACAACTTATGAAAAATTGAGAATAAGAAGATAAATCTGACTTAAGTAAATAAACAAGATTGATTGAATAAACAGATAGAATAGACAGGTTAGTCAGGTTAGAAAGGTTTTGCTTTATTTAATATATGAAACAAATTTTATTTCTGGATAATAAAGCTAAAGTTGCCCGGATTCAATTCTAAGCAAAAGGTATTATTTAAATACTATTTAAATTCGTTTATATAGAATATGCAATTTTATTCTACTTTAAAAACTTCAAATTTTGTTATTGCCAAGTGTTTTTTTTTTACACATTGTTTTTATGACATTGGTGTTCTATTTCTACTGCGAACAATGCTAAAATTTGTAAAATATATAAAATTGTCTTGCAAGTTTTGATTAAAAAAATTCAGCTTTTGACTTTTTAAATATTTTAGAATAAAAAAATTTTATGTATTTTTGTGAACTTGTGGCTTTTAAGTAAAATGTTTAAAAAAGAAAGTACGGCATCAATTCAAAGAACTACTTGTTCTGATATGTGATCGGTTTATTTTAGCTTAAAAGTTTGTGATTTTACATTGCTTTGTATTTCGTGATGTAAAATATTTTTAACATTTTTCATATTTTAGTGTTAGATAAAAATGCAATAGTATGCGTTTATTTTTTCTGTTTGTAATTTCTTTTTAATAGTTATCTATGATTGTAGCATTTCTTCCCAATGTGGTTTTAGCTTAATCTTAGCTTTATTTTTTCCCACTTTCCTGACTTGGTTAATTATACTTTTTATTCATTAATGTGAATTTTTTTAATACCCATCAGAAAAATTGCTTCCATTTGTTTTAAAGTAATGCCGTACATAGCAGCAAGCTTATTTGAAAACATTCTCAACTATCAATGAAATTTGCAAAATTCACCAGCAGTAAAATACCTAAAACAAATTTTTCAATTATATTCAAAAATATAACCTCATGCTTTATTGCTTGAACCAATTTGGGAATTCAGTCATTTGTTCTAAAAGAAAAACTAATTTAACAATTTTAAATCATCTTATTTTTATGGCTATAGATTTAGGGGTCATACGCATACTATTATTTTAAGCTAATGCAGTCACACAACTTTAGTGTGAATTTATAATTTCACAATTGATTAGTCTCTTTCATATGATTTTGAAATTATCGATTTCAATCATCAATACAGTATCATAAAATTTTAAAATAATCATTTGAGAGATCATCCACTAAAATCACTTGTGTACTGTATTGAAAATGTCATATTCACCGTCTTTTCAATTCGAGATTGTTGACACCTGAATTTATAATTGTTTGATTAAGGAAATCTTGAACTCAATTAAAAATGCTACTTACGCATTTTCATGCAGGAATATAAATTCTACTGGTTCTTAAAGCAATAGAACTACAAAACTTTTCCATGCATTGATTTGAAACTATTGAATTGTTCAGTATTGATAAAAAATGCTGGATAACTTTAAAACTTTTAGCTCTAATGATTCTGAAATAAAAAATATAAAAAATAAATATTTTATTATTTTTTGTGATAAAATTTGCTTTTATTATAATTTTATAAGCAACTTATATTTTCTTTAGTTTGCCTTTTTTAAAAGTGGGCTGGTATATGTGTACTCCTTCAAAAAAAATGTCCTGACTGTGTTTTAATATTTTGAAAAATCTTTTTCGCCCATCTGCCTGATTTTCCTTGGCCCACTCTAAATCCTGCATATGTCACGCATGTCATTTTCTGGTAGCTGAATAATATGACTTTATTCATGTATTTTTCTAATGTGGTTGTTCATTTTTAGGGAAATGAAGTTGGATGATTTAGATGCTAAACCACTAAAACCATCATCTGATGCTCTTAAAACTTTGCTTTTGATACAATCAGTTACAGTCGTCTCAGGTAAAAATTATGAAAAAAAATTTGTTGCAATTTATTTATGATTCACTATATTTACAATGTTTTGAACGTTTTATTTTCATTTGCATATTCATATTTTTTTTTTTTTTATAATGTGTTTTTAAACTCAATTTACTGAAGATAAAATATAATTGTTACACCAGCTTCCAGGGTGAACTGGTCGTAGACTTGAAAAAGCGATTGCCTCTTGGGCCTTCCTTGAAGATGAAGCACTCTGAACCCATGTCATTTTGAACAAAAAAAAGCATTTAAAAAAGTCAAAATAGTTTTAAAACATACTTTGTCCTAATTTTATTTTTGATATTATGAATAAAATATTTATTTAGAATTTTATTTAATGAATAAGTCTGAACTTACATAAGTCAGTCACAATTTAAATAGTTATAGGAATTGCAATTTTAGCCTAATGCATGATGTGCAAAATACTCGAAAAATGTTTTTGTCATACCAAATTAGTTTCAAATTTAAAGAATGTAAATTTACTGGGAATTGTATTAGTGATGTTTAACCTATTTTCTGTGTAATTATTTACATTAATTATTCCTGTCAATAAAAAAAAGTAGCAGTATACAATGTTTTAGAAAAAAATGCTATCGGAAAAGTGACAATTTGTTATCTGTTAGTAAATTGTTTTTAGTAGATTGACAATTGCAATTTTGACACAGTGCAATTTTCAATTTTTCATGTACTCAATAGGTAAAATTTATTCTCTTTTCCTCACCAAATGGAATTTGTCTTCAATATTAATTTTTATCACTTTTGAATTAACTTGAATTCTTATATCTTATCTGAAGGTTTATGTTTTATGACAATACAAAAATTCAAAGCAATTTTATTTTTATCAGACCTAAAACAAAAATTGTAGGGGCAAACTTTTCTAATGTTTTTCTCCTACAAAACTCCTCCTTCCTCTTTGTTTTGAAAGTAGTATGTCTTATATTTTTCAAGTTTAGTTTTTAAATAGTTTTTAAGATACTAAAATTATTGCTCAGGAAATTTTGCAGATTTTAATTCTTAATATCTTTAGTATGTTTAAATTTAATTTCTTTTCATTTTTAACGTTTAAGTGTTAAATTTATTTGTGCCTAAAAATTTTTCTTGTACTTCTCAATAACTTTCCTAAACTTCAGAATTTTTTTAAAGTTATTTCTTTTTAAACAGCAAAACCCAAAAAAAGCATTTTTTTTTAAATTTAAAGGCTTAAAAACCTTTAAAAATCAAGACTTTCATAGCTTATATATAATTTAATGAACTAATTTGAATGATTATTGTGTAAAGTTTATCTTAAGTAGTTGACGATTTTTTTTCAATTGTTACAAATCAATCTCACGTGACCAAAATTTAAGATGAAGTAATTTTTCAATGAAACAAAATTTAAGTATTTTTTTAAATTAATTCTTTAGATTCTAATTGCAGTTAACAGTTATTTTAGTTTTGTTATTTTAGTTAGTGGTTTGTTTAGTTAATAAATATGTTTTTTCTAGTTATAATTATTTATCAACACTTTGCATTACTTCTTCAAAGAGTTTTTGAATATTTTAATTTACTAGGAGGCTTCGCTCTCCTACTCTTATGGTAAACTCAAATCATTTATCTCAGTCTTTCATTTTATCTCAAACTTAGATAAAATGAAAAACTTTTTGTGAGCACAAAATTTCAATAAAAAAAAATTTCTGCAAGCATTGATTAACTTTGAGAACTAGTTTCTACACTTTCGTTGCCACAACATTTTATAAAATTTCTTTGAAAATCCCAAGATTTTTTTTTAAAAATGCCCAATGCAATGAACGGTGAACTAAAGATGCTGTAGTGCTGTCTAGCACTACAAAAATACAATCCCAATTCACTTGTATATAAGACTTGTTAACTCGATTCTATGTTGGAGTATCTCTTCATAAATGAACATTGATGACCCGATCATGAGAAAATTAGTCATTGCAATTTATTTACGATATTTTTTATATTTGATTTAAAAAAATATCGTTATATTTATCATTATATTATGTAAAAAATATCGTCTTATATTTTGATAAATGAAACTTTATTCGTGTTTTTCGTGATTTCCATTTGCATATTCATATTTTTCGTTTAATAATGTGTTTTTAAACTCAATTTACTGAAGATGAAATATAATTGTGACCAGTTTCCTTACACTCGACTGCTAATGAAAACACAGGAGCGACCACGACAATGAACTTAATACAGCTTTCACGATCAGCATCAAGAAAGTCCGGTGATCTTAATACAGCTCTCCCGGCTTCTCACAAAACAGCAATAAATTAACTAGTATCCGCTTATCGAATTCTGTCACAGATATAATTCTGGTGGGTGCGTATTTTAGTGTTTCTACCACTGAAAAAATAAAGTTCCAATTCACTAGTATATAAGACATGTTAACTCGATTTTATGTCGGGGTTCCTTTTCACGGATCAACGCTGACAGCGTGGATAGCTCCTCTCCCCACATGATGACGTCATAATGAGGTTACACTTTATTAAATTAAATTAACATGCTTTTCATTTATATATGTGTAAGTGTGAGTGGCATTTTTTAGTACAGTAAGGAACCGATTATCCGGACCATCGGGACCGTCGCTATTCGGATAACTGATTTTTCCGGTTTCCTGAATCGCTGCAAAAAGCCTTTTTTTTTTATTGCTAACCCAACTAAAAAAAAAATATTTGAAAATAATCTTAAAACGAAGAAAAGGCGATGAAGTAATACACTAATGATAATTTCCAAAATGATGGTAAGGTAAACATCGTTCAAAAAAGAAGGTAAAATTCTAAAATCTTATGAGGAAAAAAAACAATTTTTTTTAAATGGTGGGAAAATTTACCGAATTTCTTTCCGGTTTTCTGATTTCCGGATAACGGGTTTTATACTGTACGCATTTTTTAGGTAGGCATTTTGTTATACTGCAAATCGGGGATAAACTGTTAAAACCAGATGAGTAATTTTTCTGCTTGCCAAATGAAATAAAAATTGGGTCAGTATTCATCAGCAAAATAACATTATTTTTATTTAAAATTAGGATATTGTGTCTGAAATCAAGGTATATACTTTTACACGTGTTTGATTGTATGCATAAAATTTAGAATCACAATTTTTCTCATATTATTGTTTTCTACTTTTTCTATTATTTGATGGGATATCGAAAAATTTCCAGATCATGAATAAAATGGAGGTAAAAAATTTACATTCTGCTCCCTATCACCAATATTTTATATCTTGAGTTTTAAAAATCAATAATATTTTCTCCCTTTTTCTTTATGTTTAAATTTTTGAGGCATTATTCATGCTATAAAAACATTTTTAAAAAATTAAAGGATAGTATATTTACTCTAAATTGAAGAAAAAGTTTTGTTTCTGTATTTATTTTGTTTACTTTGTTTTCCAGGAAAATGAAAAATCTTCTGGTCAGAAAATTGAAATGAGAATTCAGAATTATTTATCAAAATGATGTAGAATAGGATTAACTATCCAAAGAAACATTGAATTATTTCAGTAAGTATAATATTTATACATGTTTTGGGAAACATTTCTCTTGTTACAATTACAAATTACATGTTACAATTCTCTTGTTACAATTACAAATATCTTTCCGGGAAACAAACCTACATCTCCTGTTAAAATAACTGCCTTAATATTTTGAAGAACGAAAAATATTATTTGCATAAACAGAGTTTTAATAATGTAAATTTATTGTGCTTTAACATCTATTAATACAGGTACATTTTTATAATTTCTTTTACTGACTAGAGTAGAGTCAGAAAAATCTTAAAAGAAAAGATTTACCAGTGCTATTAAAAAATGTAAAAATTATATTCTTCTGAATAATTAATATTTTTATTACAGATACGAATTATATTTAAAAAATTACTTATGCNAGTAGAGTCAGAAAAATCTTAAAAGAAAAGATTTACCAGTGCTATTAAAAAATGTAAAAATTATATTCTTCTGAATAATTAATATTTTTATTACAGATACGAATTATATTTAAAAAAATTACTTATGCTTATTTTTGATATTAAGTGTTAAAGAGAATATGAAAGATTCAAATTTTTTAATGGAAATATGTATAATCTTCCTTATACACTGTATAAATTACGATATAAAGAATCTTTTGCAAGGTTATGACATGTAAAAAGGATTTTTTTCTAATATTGTAAATTTATTTGTTATAAAACAATTTCTAAGTTTAATTAGCTAAGCAAATACATAACCTAAATTTGATTCTTTTTTTTCTTTTTTTTTTTGTTGAAAAAAGCACTTTCCATTTTAAGTTTTTGTAAATGTTCTGAAAGGTTTGTCAAGGATTATGAGGAAGGTCTTTCTCACAATCACACCTTATTGGATGATTGCTGATTTTGTTAGAGTTTGTGTTGTAGGTAAATTATTTCATTTCATGAGAAGAATTTGAATTCTTGATAGTAATTCTAGATAACAAAGTTAATCATGCTCTAAAAATATATAAACAAACAAGAATAGTAAAAAACAGTTTTTTTTTCTTCAAATGAACCGAAAAAATTGGTTTTTGGGGTTCAACTAGATTTTTCTTGGATTATTTACAGCAAGGTTTTGAATAATACTTCATCTTCTAAATTAAAAGTGATTAAGTTATTATAAAGTATAATTGTGATAACTTAAACAATCAATTGATAGTATAAAAGGATAATTATATTATATATAATATCCTATTGCGTTTCAAAAACAAGCATAACCAAGCCTAACATACTGATACGAAGCTTTTGTTCTTAACTTGACCCAAAATTACATTTTAAAGTAATTTTGAAAATTATCAGAACTTGAAGTAGATGATGGTCTTTGTTATTTTTAAGAGTTTTTAGTAGCATTATGACTTAACTTTACTAACATGAATTATTGTATAAAATTATATTTTCTGAAGAGCAAAATATTTATAAACATTTAAAAATTTCATTTATTTGTTTATATAAAGTAATACAGACTCACATTAGCAGTTAAGACTCCATATAAAAAATTTTATTAAAAAATATCACTTTTTTTCATTTGGTTATTTTTGAATTGATGATATATACTTAAATAAAAGAAAATAAAGTTACTTTAAAAAAGTTAGGATTTTTTTTTAAGTGTTTTGTTTTAACTATTGTTTAAATTGGCTAATCTTGTCGGAATAATATTGCTTAACAATACCATTCTCCCTCAAGAGTATTTAATTTTTACTAGGTAATTCCAATCACTAGCATTGCTTTCATCTGATACTGTATTAGTAACAAATTCTGTTATCTGAATAATAAAAGTTAATTTGTAATCAAATGAAATTTTTTGCATTTTTTTTACCGTGCACCGATAAATTCATTGTTATATATGTTATGTAATTTAGAAAACAATTTTTTATAATTAGTTTTAATCTAATAAGGAAATCTCAAACTTTTTACAAGTAAAAACTCGTTGTTGAAAGACTATAAATTTCTTAACTTTTCTATTTATAAATTTGAAAAATCATATTTTTAAAGAAAATTTATGGAGTGTTATCACTTCGCCTACTGTCACTCTATGGAGTGTTATCACTGAACCTATTGTAACTCTAACAGATATATTTTAATGGATACTTTCATTTTAGAGATACATAGTAGTTATATTGGTATTTGTCCTTTCTTTTTTTTCCTTTAAATTGAAAGAGATATTCCTAAAGGCACAGCAGTAATTTCTAGGGCTAATATAATGAAAATATTATGTTTATTACATACCCATTTAATGTACCCATACCCATTAATCTCCACCATGTACTTCTATACTTTGCTGTAAAAATTAGACCACTTTTAAATAGGGATGCAACGAATATTCTGCCCTTATTCGTATTAGGCCTTTTTGTCGAATATTTTATTATATGTTTAGCCTAGCATAGACAAAGTATTTTTCGAAAAAAATTTTTTTTTTTTAATATGAATTGATTTATTAAAGAGTAATCTAAAATTATATTTTTTACTATATACTATTTGAAATAGTATTTTACACAAATTTGTTAATCTTAAAAACTTTCAAATTTACATTCTGAAAGGCAATTGAAAGAAATGATTTTTTAAAAAACTATAAGTATAATTGAAAAGGCAGTGCTGCCTTTGTCTCTATTTGTTACTGTATCTTATCTAATATTTTCGTTAACCCAACTGAATAAAATACTAAAGAATTTTCAATGATTAAGTCTGTAATATGATTTTCTTAAATTAACTATGATTGTATTTTATGGTTTTAATGTATAATTGATCTACACACAAACAATCCAGAGTTTTTCTAGATTTACAGTAATGCTCAGCCTTTCAAGTTTTATTAAAACAAAAAGGAAAAATAAGCATTTATTTGGTTAAATCAGTCCTGCTAAGTTTACTAGGTTTAACCTAGAAAAATATATAATGATTCCAATGTTGCTAAAACAGGATTTAGAGGATTATAGTTTGTTTGAGCCCAAAACTATTATCTACAACACACATTAATCATTATCATAACAATCTCATTAAAAATGTAAATGTATAGAAGCAATAATAACCTGCACCTTTAAAAATGTCAACGTATGGACAAAATAAATATCTCTTCAGCTTAAAAAAAACCAGTATGGGAAGTACAAGACAATGGCCCTCAATATATCTTTAAGTTTTAAACGTGTCAGAACTATTAGACCTAGAACTAGCTGTTTAAAGGTAGAATCATGTGAGATTCTTCAAGTTGTAACTAGTTAGAATGAATTGTATTTAGATATTGTATGGACTTGAAAGTATTTTGTTTGCTTGAGCTTCTGCCGTTACTTCCCACGACAAACTGTAAATTAAAGTTTATTTTATTATTTATTTTATTTTATTACAAAGTTATTCATACTATTTGGCAAATTTGATTGCCAAATAGCATGAAAGAACTCTATTTATTTATCCTATTAAGATCTATAAGTGAACATGAATAATTTTGCGTTTAGTAATAAGTTTTTTGTAAAGAGGTGAGTTTACAGTCTTATTTAATGTTCTTGCTTGCCAAACATTAAATACCAATCGTGCATGCATCACAATGTATATGAAACAGATCTTTAAGCTCTAAATTATGTAACGAATATCTTTAACTTCTTGAAGTATATTAATGTAATTTACGCCACAAAAAATTCTTACACTGTTGAAAAGTTTAGACACCAATTCAATTATCCTAAAAAGCAGGTAACATCATAGAGTTTTGTTATAATAAAGAAACAACTCTTTTAATTTTAAGTTATTAATTTAGGAAAAATAACGATGAAAATCATAATGACAGAATAAATATTATTGTTAAAAACCTTTCAAATTTTGGGATGCAAAAATATTTTACAGGAAAACACAACTTTTATAACTTCAATTATTTTTTGTTTATGATAACAAAAAATATGGAAATTAATCTGGATAAACTGGATCCTAATATTTTATTTTCCTGTTGTCAAAAAAATGTACCGATAACTAAAAAAAAATTGCCACACCATCATTATATTTCAATATATATTTAAATTCATAACATATAAATAACTGAAAACGGAAAAATAATGAATTATTTAGTTCGAAAACTATATCCAAGACACTTTTGCTTGATACACATTGTTATCAATCAAATTTCATAGAAATGAATGATTTAAAATATTTTTTGTTATAATTATTTCTGAAAAATAGCAATGATGCATTTCTAAAAGTGTCTACAAGATATTAAATGAACGGATTAATGCCGATTATATTTGATATTAAGTTATAATTGGGGTTTACTTCTTTCTAGAGGCTGATTTGTATAACTATTTAACTTATTATACTTGAGCTACAGTATACCTTGCTACAGTATATTGAAAGGAAAAGATTGCCTCAGCATTGAAAGATTTAAGTAAAGATATCAAAATCAATCCAGCTGGATTTAGCAGCTGTAAGTTTTCTTTCTTTTTTATCGAAATTTATATGTAAGTACTTAATTGAAAGAAGCTTCAACTTTGAAAATATATGTATATATATATATATATATAAAAAATTGAAATATTTATACATTTTATGTGTTGAAGCAACTGGTTTTAATGAATGTAATTTAAAATCTGAGACTTTATTCAGGTTTATTTTTATGTTTTTATTTTCATGCTAAAACAAGGTTACAAAAAGTTTGACTTTTTCAATTTCTGAGGCTAGCATGTTTGTTGTAAGCGAAAAACAAGATTTGTGTGAACTTTTTCCAAGAAAAATATCCAGATTGGATTCAAGATTAGCACCACCGAAAAAATTTAATAATATGCAATAAATAAACCTTTGCCTATTTTTTTGGGTAGTGTCCAGTTTTGAGCTTCGCTATCTGGACTAAATTCAATTGATTGGAGTGCCTGATTAAATTGAACTTTCTCTCATCATGTTTTTGTGGTTCAGTATCCACTCTAATGTATTGCTCTTCGTGATTATTGAGGCAAAACTCCATTAATTTTTTAAGAGTTTCTAATTTACTCTTCTGAAGAGTTAATAGTATATCCTGGTATTCTTAATTTATTAGCTTTTTTTGCCCTGATGTACCTCAATTTTTATTTATATATTCAGAATATTTCATTACCTACAAATAAAAATGCGCGATTTAAAAAAAAAAAAAAAAAATTCATNTTACACTCTTAAAAGTAATCACCTGTTGGTTTTTTTAATATTTAAACAGGTTTCATGTGGTCCTTAAAGAAACTAAGTAAACCGAAGCTTCAACTTTGAAAATATATGTATAAATATATAAAAAATTGAAATATTTATACATTTTATGTGTTGGAGCAACTGGTTTTAATGAATTTAATTTAAAATCTGAGACTTTATTCAGGTTTATTTTTATGTTTTTATTTTCATGCTAAAACAAGGTTATAAAAAGTTTGATTTTTTCAATTTCTGAGGCTAGCATGTTTGTTGTAAGCAAAAAACAAGATTCGTGTGAACTTTTTCCAAGAAAAATATCCAGATTGGATTCAAGATTAGCACCACCGAAAAAATATAATAATATGCAGTAAATAAACCTTTGCCTATTTTTTTGGGTAGTGTCCAGTTTTGAGCTTCGCTATCTGGACTAAATTCAATTGATTGGAGTGCCTAATCAAATTGAACTTTCTCTCATCATGTCTTTGTGGTTCAGTATCCACTCTAATGTATTGCTCTTCGTGGTTATTGAGGCAAAACTCCATTAATTTTTTAAGAGTTTCTAATTTACTCTTCTGAAGAGTTAATAGTATATCCTGGTATTCTTAATTTATTAGTTTTTTTTGACCTGATGTACCTCAATTTTTATTTATATATTCAGAATATTTCATTACCTACAAATAAAAATGCGCGATTTAAAAAAACAAAAAACAATTCAAAGAATCGAATGAGTTACATTTTTGATCCAATATCTTTTTATTTTAAATTGATATTGATAGTAAAAAAGTCGTTCTTACTCGAACTTAATAGTTCAGAATTCGGGACTGTTCAAGTATATTTTCTTAGCTGCAGCATTTACTGCTTCAATATAATATGGAAATTAACATTTTTATCTTATAAATTTTTAAGGGTGAAAAATACTTTGGTGATGCACAAACTTATTTATGATTTCCAGGAAATATTATTTAAATATTTAAAAATGTTTTTAAATTTCACAATTTTTAATTTGTATGATTTTAAAAATGACAATTTATAATCAACAGTACAAACTTATCATACACTTTTTAACTGGTGAATGTAGGAATTATCTATTAAATCACTTTTGTACAATAATGTCAAGCAGCATATTAACTTTGTTTCCGTTTCAATATTAGAAACGAAGTAGGAAATTTGATGGAATACAAATTTAATGGAATTTATACAGAAATAAAAAATTTGAATCCTACTTTAGAATGATTTGATTCAAGAAAACTGTGATTGTAAAATCTAATTACATAATTATTGCTGGTAGGAAATATTAACAAATTAAAAGGTTGTGTTTTAATCCCCCAACAGTTCAATAAAAATTTATCTATTTTGATATCAAACAATTTTGAGTTGTTCATTGCTTTGACCTATAAAAATATTTTGGAAGAAAATATTAAATTAAAATTAAGTGAAAAATATTCTGTTATGAAAAAAGTAATTCTAAAATTAAAAATTTTGTCGTTTTATTACTCTTTTGCTTTACTACTTATTTAGAGAAAACAAGTATTTTTTTTTTAGTTTCCTAATTTCCCTGATTCAAAAGTCTGTGTATCTGGTTCCAAAAAAAAGGCCTGATTGTTTCATGTAATATTGTCATGATTTTTTCTTTTGCAAGTCCTGCAGTAATTGACAGTGAGAAAGAAAAAATAAAAATAACTTGGCAACAAGTTTAGGATTAAGTGTTATGTCTAGTGTCACATTTTAGATGTTTTATTTTTGAAAATGTTACACTACATATAGTTTTCACTACAACAATTTTACACCTCGGCCTTACCAAAAAATATGGAACAAGGAATATGGGATTTATCCTATCTCCCTTTTCTATGAATCTTCCTCTACCACACACCCGTGTATATTACTAATTTTAACATAAATTCAACATGGGCTGCATTCTTATGAAAATTATACATGTCTGAGTATAGACATGTTGCTAACTTTTTTATATTTTATGGATAATGAATATTCTATATCCTATAAATAAAATTCTTAGAAAATGTTTAAGAATTTTAACACCTTGAGTATCAACTTTGTGGAATAAGTTGTCTTTTTTTTATTAATATATTTCTCAATACATAGTTGTGCTCATTTAATTAATGTTTTACTCTACTTTTCAGTAACATAATTGTTTTATGTACATGTCTGAAGTTACTTTCTTCACCATTGGCTACACGAAAAAAAAATTTTAAAAATATTTCAAGTTGGAAATTATTATTTTTTTCAAAATTAAGAACATTAAATGTTATATATACAGAAGAATATTGGGTTTTAATAGGGAAGAATAGAATGAATTGATTAATACAGCTTAAAAACGATATAATAAAATTAGCTTCCGTTGTTTTCAATATATCATAATATGTAATTGTTGGCAGAACAATGTTATGAAAATTTGACAATACTATTTTCTCGTATTAGCTCAACAAGTTTAGCAAAAAAACAATGTCGTATAAAAATTTTTAGCCCTTGGTATATAAATTGTTTTAATTAACTATCTTTCCTTTTTATTTCTTGAAACTTAAATACATATTTATTTTTTTCATAGGGTCAAGAAACATATTTTTGCTCATGGCGTCTTTTGCTGACAATAAGAAAATGGAGGAATAATGTTGCCAAGAATGGTGAAAAATCCTTTTGCCTTTTAGTGGAGGTGTATAAAGACCATCATCGGAAGATAAAAATTAATAGAATTATCAGCTGTACCGTTTGCTTATCTTGAAGAAAATTGAGTATCCAGCACCGTGGTCTAACAATATTATCAAATACTTTTGAAAGAAAATGTTTTTTTCGTTCTATCCAAACTGTATGGGCAATTTAAAACTTGTGGCGTCTTTTGCTGACAATAAGAAAATGAAGGACTATTGTTGATAAGAATGGTGAAAATTCCTTTTGCCATTTAGTGGAGGTGTATAAAGACCATCATCGGAAGATAAAAATTCATAGAATTATCAGTTGTGCCGTTTGCTTATCTTGAAGAAAATTGAGTATCCAGCACCAAACTAACGTGGTCTCACAATATTACCAATTACTTTTGAAAGAAAGTGTTTTACTCATTCCATCCAAACTGCATGGGCAATTTGAAACTCGTGGCGTCTTTTGCTGACAATAAGAAAATGGAGGAACAATATTGATACGAATGGTGAAGAATCCCTTTGCCATTTAGTGGAGGTGTATAAAGACCATCATCGGAAGATAAAAATTCATAGAATTATCAGTTGTATCGTTTGCTTATCTTGAAGAAAATTGAGTATCCAGTACCGTGGTCTAACAACTATTATCAATTACTTTTGAAAGAAAATGTTTTTTTTTTTTCTATCCAAGCTGTATGGGCAATTTAAAACTTGTGGCGTCTTTTGCTGACAATAAGAAAATGGAGGACTAACGTTGATACAAATGGTGAAAAATCCCTTTGCCATTTAGTGGAGGTGTATAAAGACCATCATCGGAAGATAAAAATTCATAGAATTATCAGTTGTACTGTTTGCTTATCTTGAAGAAAATTGAGTGAATCCGCGCCAAACCAGGGTCGAACAATATTATCAACTACTTTTGAAAGAAAGTGTTTTTTTCATTCCATCCAAACTGTTTGGGCAATTTAAAACTCGTGTCATCTTTTGCTGACTATAAGAAAATGGAGGACTAAAGTTGATACGAATGGTGAAAAATCCCTTTGCCATTTAGTGGAGGTGTATAAAGACCACCATCAGAAGATAAAAATTCATAGAATTATAAGGACTATTGTTGATAAGAATGGTGAAAATTCCTTTTGCCATTTAGTGGAGGTGTATAAAGACCATCATCGGAAGATAAAAATTCATAGAATTATCAGTTGTGCCGTTTGCTTATCTTGAAGAAAATTGAGTATCCAGCACTGTGGTCTAACAATATTATCAATTACTTTTGAAGGAAAATGTTTTTTTCGTTCTATCCAAACTGTTTGGGCAATTGAAAACTTGTGGCATCTTTTGCTGACAATAAGAAAATGGAGGACTAATGTTGACAAGAATGGTGAAAAATCCTTTTGCAATTTAGTGGAGGTGTATAAAGACCATCATCAGAAGATAAAAATTCATGGAATTATCAGTTATACCGTTTGCTTATCTTGAAGAAAATTGAGTATCCAGCACTGTGGTCTAACAATATTATCAATTACTTTTGAAAGAAAATGGTTTTTTCTTTCCATCCAAACTGTATGGGCAATTTGAAACTCGTAGTGTCTTTTGCTGACAATAAGAAAATGGAGGACTAATGTTGACAAGAATTGTGAAAATTCTTTTTGCCATTTAGTGGAGGTGTATAAAGACTTATCATCTAAAGATAAAAATTCAAAGGACTATGTGTTGACCTTTTTGCACAATTCATTATCTCAAAAAATCTTTATGTGCCATTCAGCTGACTTGTATGGATTGGTATAAACAGTTTCTTCTGCCTGAAAAATCTTGGATTCCATTTTAACTTCCAAGTATCAGCAGAGAAATGTGCGTAAAGTGCCTTCTTTTTTTCATGCAGGGATCTAATGATACAAAACAGAGGTCATGAAGTTTATAATGAATATTCTACAAGAAGACAAAACCTCTTTTCAGTTAAATGCCATCAAATCTTTTTTTCGACATTTTCCTTCAACACTGGTTATTATAACTATCCTGTAAGCACCAGCTATATTAATATGTGCATCAAAGTATTCATCTTACTGAAACTGCAGTTAATAATTTGATTCAAAGCTGCTCCGTTTGGTTAATTGAGTTCAAATTAGATCAATTGCTTGAAATCAATGAAATGAAAAACATTTTATTTAGTGTGTGTTATGGACAGAGTGCTGTACCCAGGAGCCGAAACGAGACCCATTACTGAAAAAAATGAAATATCAAAGATGGATTTGAATGGGACACATACTGCGAATACCGGCTACTGAATTTATTGGTGCTGCTCTCACATGGGCGCAGGAAGGACGAAGAAAGCGAGAAAGTCAGAAAATGACATGGTGACGAATGATAGTTGGTGAAAGAGATGAGCTTGGAGGAGCTTGGCTGTTTTTGACTGCAAGCGTTGGAGGACAAGCCTTATGCCTCATACTGACATAAGAGAAATCTTGATGGTGATGATTATTGATCATGTTAATGGTAAGTCAGTTTCATTGAAGTTCTAATGGAATTCAATCAGCAAAGAAAAGCTAATTATAAAGCTCATTAAAAGCCCTCTATAACTTTTGATTTATAGATCACACATCATTTTTCAGTGTTCTAAGATTAAACTGTAAATGTATAATCAAATATTCTTACTAGCTAATGCTATCTATAATTTAAGTTCTAAAATCATATTTTTCTAGAGGCTGCAATCTGAAGAATGGGGATCCAAATAGATTGATTACTTAAAAGCTGTCAAAAGTAAGTTTCAACCTAAATCTTTTAATGGTTATTTCACTTTTTCCACCTTTTTTTATATTTCTTTGTGAATCAAGATATTTTTGCACGCATTATAAAACTGATTTTTCAAAAAATAACTTCATCCAAAGATTAGTTTTTAATCATTAATTTTACTATCAATTTCTTAATGTACTAATTATTGTTAATAATAATTTTGTTATTGTTAATAATAATTTTAAACTATAATTTATAAAAATTTTAATGTTCTTAAACAGACATTTTAAATTACAAATTTGGAAGAAACATTTTTTTTTTATAAACAATAACTTTTCTAAAAAATCATGTTTTTAAGACTTTATTTCTAGATCTAATTGCTAGATTTATAAAAAAAATGTCTTTAGAGGAACACTAATACTTTAAACATTCTGAATAATTATTATAATCTCATTAGCATGCAAAGAAGGGGTAATTGTCTCTGACAAAGGAGGCATCTAATTGACGACTAATAAGAATACCAATCTTAAATCTGTTTCCAAATTATTAATACNTGGAGGACAAGCCTTATACCTCATACTGACATAAGAGAAATCTTGATGGTGATGATTATTGATCACGTTAATGGTAAGTCAGTTTCATTGAAGTTCTAATGGAATTCAATGAGCAAAGAAAAGCTAATTGTAAAGCTCATTAAAAGCCCTCTATAACTTTTGATTTATAGATCACACATCATTTTTCAGTGTTCTAAGATTAAACTGTAAATGTAGAATCAAATATTCTTACTAGCTAATGCTATCTATAATTTAATTTCTAAAATCATATTTTTCTAGAGGCTGCAATCTGAAGAATAGGGATCCAAATAGTTTACTTAAAAGCTGTCAAAAGTAAGTTTCAACCTAAATCTTTTAATGGTTATTTCACTTTTTTCACCTTTTTTTTATATTTCTTTGTGAATCAAAATGTTTTTGCACGCATTATAAAACTGATTTTTCAAAAAATAACTTCATCCAAAGATTAGTTTTTAATCATTAATTTTACTATCAATTTCTTAATGTACTAATTATTGTTAATAATAATTTTATTATTGTTAATAATAATTTTAAACTATAATTTATAAAAAAATTTTATGTTCTTAAACAGACATTTTAAATTACAAATTTGGAAGAAACATTTTTTTTATATACAATAAATTTTCTAAAAAATCATATTTTTAAGATTAGATCTAATTGCTAGATTTCTAAAAAGAATATCTTTAGAGGAACACTACTTTAAACATTCTGAATAATTATTATAATCTCATTAGCATGCAAAGAAGGGGTAATTGTCTCTGACAAAGGAGGCATCTAATTGATGACCAATACCAATCTTAAATCTGTTTCCAAATTATTAATACACATTTCTCAGGATATTAAAGTTTTAAATATTTTTTTTAACTAAATATGTCATAGAGAGTCTTTCAAAATTTAAAATTAAGCTTTTAGTCTTGAAATTTAAATACTTTTACATTTAGGAAAATTGAAAACATTTTGGTTTGAAATAAATGAGTTTCTACAAATGAAAGATTCTACTACCATGCATGAAATTTAATTTAAACTATGAAAGTAAATAAGTTTCTTTTTTTTTTTTTCCTCCTCCTTACATTATTTTAATCCTTCTTTCAAAAGCATGTACTAGAAACATTTGGCCCTGGTATTCACATACCTGTGTACTCCATTGTTTGACCTTGCTGTTGATATTCATTAGAGCTCAAGAAATTTAATCTTTTGTTTCCTTTATTTCTTTTTCCAAATCTAGAATTACAATTATTAAATTTATTTGATGTAATTTGATATGAAAAATAGTTTATTTCTAAGATTATTATTAATAGAGGTTCATTTTTTTCTATTGAAGAAGCTTTATTGTGTTCATTTTTTATTATGATTTTCAAACATTTTAATTTTATTTCTTCATTAGTACAATTTTTAAAAGAAATTGAATCTGTACTGTGAATTGCACAGCTTCATCAGCATAAATTATTTTTCTTTTCTTTCCCTTTTTTTTCATTTTTTTTTTTCGTAATTTTATATCAAATCCACTGATAGCTCTTCTGACTTTAAATTTTGTTTTTAGTCTGAATTATTTTTAGCCCTTTTAAAAAACTAGAATCTTTATAAATTTTTCTAGTACTCACTTTCATTGAAGAGGGAATCAGTTTGTCTACTCATGGTGAAAAATTGCAAAAACGTGAATGATACGAAAAAAGAGAAGAAGGTTTGAATCTTCGAAGCAAATGTTAAAATTCAGAAAGTTGAATAGAAAATACGACCTACCAAAATAATGTCCATATAAAACCAATATAATTAAATAGTTTCTGTAAAAGTGTGAAAATTGATTCTTTTTATATCAGCAGAACAAAATTTGTCGCTAAACAAGATTGTACACTTTAACCTTTGAACTATTCAATAATCAGCACACTTAAAAAATTTTGAAATTTTTTTAAATAAAAAAACCATATGAAATATGTTATATTAATTCATTTCATTATTAAATATTTTTTAATATATATTACTTTTTTAAAAGGTAGTGTGTGTGTTTTCTTGATACTGGTTGAAACCTATCTTTGTCTTTACAAAATCATTGAAACATAACTTTAAAATTAGTTAATTATGTTTGTTACAAATTTTAAATATACATTGGTATTATGGAATCTTAACAAATTGAAACTGAAAATTTTTTTAAAGTAGCAGTACCATGAAAGGATCTCAAACTTTACTTGTTCAGTACTTAACAAAAAAATTGAACTGTAAACTATTCAGACTTGTTGCTCTCAGCTAAGTTATTCTGAAATTAAAACAAATATACTTATTATATATTATTTTTTATGTATAATAACTACATATGTTTCAATTTCATATATTTACAAATATATTATTTTTTGCAAATATGTGCCTTTATTATACTAGAGTACAACAAGTTTTTATTTTGTTGTTTGCTCTTTTTAAATACTATCTGGTACATGTATACTGTACCAAAAATTATCAGGTTTTATTTTATTAATTTATTTCTTCATGTGTTCATTTTTTATTTTATTTTAAGAATTTTTTTCTTCACATTTTATCCTAATTTTTCTTTGGTTGAGCCTGAAAAAATAAGCCAAAATCCTGTTTATAATAATAAATTAAGATTTTGTTTATGATTAATTTTTACTGTCAACTTAGTTGTGGTTAATAGCCCTCCTTGTAAAATCATCCTAATTTAACAAATCTTTTCAAATTTGAATATTGATTTATTAGTTTTGAAAATTTTTTGGCTTTGATTTAGTGTTTATTTTTTTATATATGAAATTTTTTTTTTGTATATCGCATAGATTTAATATTACAAAGTTGTCATCTATTCCTGATTTCAAGAAAGCCGCAGTTAGTTTTGATTCCTGAAAATTTACTACCATTTATATCGTAAGTATGATCAATTATATCAACATTTTTAATTGATGAAATTTTTATCACTTTTAACATATTTTTTTATAGGTCATCTTTTTTGTGAATGTATAAAATGTTGTTTAATTAATTTAACACAGAATCTTATGTATTGGAAAGAAACTGGGAAGTTTCTGCAGAAAAGTTTCTCTTAAAAGTAAAACGGTGCGAAATTCGGATGCAAATCAGTTTAGTTTTGATAATATAAAAACTAAAATAGAAATAGAAATAATAGGAATAAGTTTAGAAACAGAAATAAGTTTATGTTAGATTTTCAACTCTTTTCCATTTTTTGATTGGTTTGTTCATTCTTTTAATTAACTCTTGCAATAAGAACATTTGAAAGATAAGTTTTTAGCAAAAGAAAGGCATTTAGGCATTATAATTATGCCTTAGATTTTCCAAAGCATTAATTTTTGCATCAATATAATCCTCAGTATTGTTTCCATTAAGGTTTGCGGCACTATGTTTGTTTTTATAGTAAAAATAAGTTTATCTTACAGTTTCACCTCTTTCTTCCTTTTTTATTGGTTTGTTCATTTTTTTAATTGACTCTTGCAATCAGAACAATTGAAAAATAACTTTCTTAGAGAAAGAAAGACATTTTGACATTATGCTTGTTTGTCTCAAATTTTCGATTGCTTTACCGTTGACATTAAATTTATCCTTAGTATTGTTTCCATTTAGGTTCACTGCCCAATATTTCTTGTTAAGGTAAAAGCAAGTTTCTGTTAGTTTAAACTCTTTTAAATTTTTTTATTTGTTTTTTCTTTTAATTGATTCTTGAAGTCTGAACAAATTAAAGATAAGTTTCTAATGAAAGCATTGGCATTTAGGAAATCTAATTATAAGCCTCAGATTTCTAAATCTTTAATGTTTATATCATTCTCATCCTTAATATTGTTTCCATATAGTTCCACTGCATAATGTTCTTGTTTCTGTAGTTAAAATAAGTCTCTTAGAAATTCAGCTGTTTCCCATTTTTTTATTTGTTTGTTCTTTGTTTTAATTGAATCTTGCGGTTAGAACATTTGAAACATAAGTTTCTAGGTAGAAAATGATAGAAAGGCTTTTAGGCAATATAATTTTAAGCCTCATATTTTCTAAAGTTTGAATTTTTTACATCAAAATAATCTTTAGTATTGTTTCCATATAGGTCCTTCGCACAATCTTTCTTGCTTAGTAGAAGTAAGTTTATGTTCGAGTTTCAACTTTTTTCCATTTTTTTAATTGTTTTTTTATTCTTTTAATTGACTCCTGCAGTCAAAACTATTAAAAGATAAAATTTCTAGGCTTTCAGTAATAAAGTAATATAATAAAGGCTCTTAAGCAATATAATTATAAGCCTCAGCTTTTCTGAAGCTTTAATTTTTGCATCAAACAATTTCTTAGTATTATTTCCATATAGATCCCCTTAATATTGTTTCTTCTCATAGTAAAAATATGTTTCAGAGTTCAACTCTTTTAAAAAATTTTAATTTATTGTTTTTTTTTTATTTATCTGACTCTTGCAATCAGACCAATTGAAAGATACGTTTCTGGGTGGGAAAAAAATACAGGTCTTTGGCAATCGAATTATAAGGCTCATATTTTTTAAAGCTATAAATTTTACATCAAACTTAGTATTTAGTATTGTTTCAATATAGTTTCACGGCACAATGTTTCTTGTTAAGTTAAAAATAAGTTTTTGTTAGAGTCAAACTTTCAACTCTTTTTCATTTGTTTGTTAATTGTTTTACTTGACTTTAGAGTTTACCTATTTATTTTTAATCTTCTTCATAATTCCATATCATATTCAATGTTTTTGATGATGTTTTAAATCTGAATTATGTTTAGTTCTTTTGAAAACTTTAATACATTTTTTTTAGTATTCACATTCTTTGAAGATAGAATGTTTTATCTGTTCATGCTTAAAAACTTGCGAAAACATGAATAATACAAAACAAAAATGCTTGAATCTTTGACACAAATGTTTAAATTCAGAAAGATGAAAAAGAAATACGACCTGCCAAAATAAATGTCACCGCAGTTATTTACATAATTTCTGTGGTAGTGTAAAAAATTTTTTTTTACTTATATCAGAAAATAAAATCAGAAGTAGTGTTATATCAGCAAAACTATACATTATATGACCCTTGCTCTTACGTATAAGGTTATTTGAATAAAATTAATTGTTACTGAAGGATAACTGAAGATTCTTGATCTGATTGATTTATAATTTTGAGCTAGGGTATCAGATTTACCACTATATTTACTCAATTTCACTTTGAACTGAGATTTTACTAATTAATGCTGAAGATATTTTATTCTTCCTATTATGGTTTTAAAAAAAATGTATTTCTTTAATTTTGATATGTGTGTCTAGTGATAGGATATAAAATGACAGCTGTTCACAATTGGGTATTCCTCTTATTTTTAGAGATTCTTTTTTTATACGATATGTTTAGGAAAATAAACTAAGAGCCAATCTCTTATTGATATACAAAAGTTGAGATAACCTGAAAGTGATGTCAATGAAAGCAAAACAACTAGAAATGGGGTTTTAGCAAATTTGAGCGAAATTTGTCGCTAAACCAAGCGGAACTAGGTTGTTCACTTTAACCTTTAAACTATTTAATTCATTCTTTTAATTGACTTTTGCAGACAGAACAATCGAAAGATAAGTTTCTAGGTGGAAAAAGAATGGAAAGGTTTTACCCAGTATAATTATAATCCTTATATCTTCTAAGGCTTTGATTTCTACATCATACTCGTCTTCAGTATTGTTTTCATTTAGTTGCACTGTCCAATATTTCTTGTTATTAAAGTAAAAATAAGTTTCTGTTTGTTCCAACTCTTTTAAAAAAATTTATTTACTTTATTCTTTTAATTGACTCATATTTTCATATTTAAAGTGGTAGCAATACACAGGCTATCCCAATTAACTTTTTGAATTATAATGATAATTATAAATGAGTTTGACTACCACTACGTATAAATAATTACAATAAATATATGAAAGCATAATAATCCTTGCGCAAGCGAATTTCAAGGCGATCAAAATATAAATATATTTTTGAGTCAGATTGTTTTTCGTTTATTGTTTTACAACCACTCTGAAAATCCATTCTCGGAAGGAGTGAAAGTTGGCAGGTATGCTTATTTAATTTTTATTTATTTATTGGTTTATTGATTTATCTGACTCTTGCAATCAGACCAATTGAAAGATAAGTTTTTAATTAGAAAAAGGAATCTTCGGCAATCTAATTATGAGCCTCATATTTTCTAAAGCTTTAATTTTAGCATCAAACTAATCCTTAGTATTTTTTTCATCTAGTTCCACTTCACAGTGTTTCTTGTTACATTAAAAATAGGTTTCTGCAAGAGTTTCAACTCCTTTCCACTTTTTCATTTGTTTGTTAATTGTTTTACTTGACTTGCAAAGAGAACAAATGAAGCTTTTAGACAATCAAATTATAAGCTTCAGATTTCTGAAGTTTATATCAAACTCATCCTTAGTATTGTTTCGATTTGGGTCCACTGTAAAATGTTTCTTGTTATAATAAAAATTAATTTTTGTTGGAGTTTCAACTCTTTTCCATTTTTTCTTTGCTTAATTACTCTTTTAAATGAATCTTGCAGACAGAAAAATTGTAAGATAAACTGCTTAGTCAAAGATACGCTTTTAAGCAATATAGTTATAGGCCTCACATTTTCGAAAGCTTTAATATTTACATCGAACTAGTCCTTAGAATAGTTTCGGTATAATTCCACTGAACAATGTTTCATATTGTTATAGTAAAAATGAGTTTCTGTCAGAGTTTAATCTCTTTTAAATTATTTTCTTTTATTCTATTAATTACCCCTTGCAGTCAGAAAAATCGAAAGATAAGCTTCGTAGTGAAAGAAAGGTTTTTTGACAGTATAATTATATGCTTCAGATTTTCCAAAACTTTAAAATTTGCATCGAACAATTTCTTAGTATTGTTTTAATGTAGGTCTACAGCACATTGTTCCTTGTCATGGTAAAAATTAGTTATTGTTAGAGTTTCAACTCTATTACATTTTTTGTATTTATTTGTTCATATTTTTAATTGACTCTTTCAGTCAGAACAATTGNTTCAGATTTTCCAAAGCTTTAAAATTTGCACAGAACAATTTCTTAGTATTGTTTTAATGTAGGTCTACAGCACATGTTCCTTGTCATGGTAAAATTTAGTTATTGTTAGAGTTTCAACTCTATTACATTTTTTGTATTTATTTGTTCATATTTTTAATTGACTCTTTCAGTCAGAACAATTGAAAGATAAGTTCCTTAGTGAAAGAAAGGCTTTTAAGCATTATAATCATAAGCCTCAGAATTTTTAAAGCTTTAACTTTGATATCAAATTTATCCTTAGTATTGTTTCCATGTAGGTGCAATACCCAAATGTTGTTAGATTAAAAATAAGTGTATTTGTTTGTTTCTTCTTTTAATGACCTTTGCAGTCAGTAAAATTGAAAGATTAGTTCTTCTTGAAAGAAAGGCTTTTGGCTATAATCATTATGTCTTTTAAATAATATAATTATGACCCTCTGATTTTCTAAAGCTTTTACTTTGAACTAATGCATATAATTGTTTCCATTTAGGTCCTTTGCACATAGTTTCTTGGTTAATAAAAATAATTTTCTTTTTCGTCATTTTTTGATTTCTTTCTTCATTCTTTTAACTTTTGTAGTCATAACATTTGTATTATAGTTACTAGGTAGAAAAAGAAGAGAAAGGTTTTAGGCAATGTAATTACAAGCTTCAAAGTTTCCAAAGTTTTAATTTTTCCTTAAACTAGTCCTTAGTATTGTTTTCATATAGGTCCACTGCACAATGTTTCCTGCTGCTATAGTAAAAATAAGTTTCTCTCAGAGTTTCAACTGTTTTCCATTTTTTTTTATTTGTTTCTTAACTGTTTTAACTGACTCTTGCAACCGGAATGTTTGAAAGATAAGTTGATAGGTGGAAGAAAGGAGTTTTGGGGAATATAATTATAAGCTTCAGTAATTCTAAAGCTATAACCTTATATTTTATGTGTATCGGTAAGAGAATTTTTAAACATATAATTCACGCATAGTATTATTTTATTTTATTCTTCTTCATTCATTTGTGCAGTTCACATGCTACAGTTAAGATGGCGTATACATCAAACTAATTCTTAATATTTTTTCCATATAGTTCCACTACTCCCTGTTTTTTGTTGTTATTGTTATAGGAAAAAGTTTCTGTTTGATTAAAAAAATTTTTTTTGCTTGTTTACTGTTTTAAATAACTCATGCAGGCAGTACAATTGAAAGATAAAATTTTTAGTGGAAGAAAGGTTTTAGGCAATATTATAATAAACCTCAGATTTTCTAAAAGTTTAATTTTTAACTCAAATTAATCCTGAGTGTTTCCATGTAGGACCACTGCTCAATGTTTCTTGTTGTTACAGTAAAAATAAGTTTTCATTAGAGTTTACACTCTTTTCTATTTTTTATTGGTTTGTTCTTTGTTATAATTGACTCTTGCAATCTGAAGTTGTGAATAAAGGCATTTAGGAAATGTAATAATGAGCCTCAGATTTTTACATCTTTAATGTTTGCACTATACTCGTCCTTAGCATTGTTTCCATTATAGGGTCTATTGCATAATGTGTATTGGTTTTACAGTAGAAATAAGTTTAAGTTTGAGTTTCAACTCTTTTCAATTTTTCGAGTTGTTTTTTATTCTTTTAATTCTAACTTCTTTTATTCTTATTATTCTTTCTTATTGTTCTTTTTATTCTTATTCTGTTACAGTCAAAAAAATTGAAGAAAAAATTTGTTAGTGAAAGAAAGGTTTTTAGACAATATAATTATAAGCTACAGATTTTCTGAAGCTTTAATTTTTAAATCAAACAATTTATTAGCATTGTTTCCATATAGGTTCACCGCACATTGTTCCTCTCTATGGCAAAAATTAGTTTTTGTTAGTTTCATATCTTTGTAATTTTATTTTTAGTTATTTGTTCACATTTTTAATTGTCTCTTGAAGTCGGTACAAATGAGAGATAAATTTCTTAATGGAAGAAAGGTTTTTAGGAATCATAATTATATGCCTTAGATTTTTTAAAGAAAGTTAATCCTTAGTATTGTTTACATATAGGTGCAATGCACAATTGTATAGGCCCTAGTGCGCACTATTGTTATCGTAAAAATAAGTTTGTATTAGAATTTCAACTCTCTTTCCATTATCGTATTTGCTTGTTTCTTGTTTTATACTGACTGCAAAAATCATTTATTGAAAGATAAGTTTATTAGTAAAAGAAATGCTTTTGGCCATTATCATTATAAGCCATAGATTATCTAAAGCTTTAACTTTTACATCAAACTAGTCCTCAAAATAGTTTCCATATTGGTGCGCTGCCTAATGTTTCTTGTTGCTATGGTAAAAATAAGTTTCTGTTCGAGTTTAACTCATTTCCATTTTTTTGTTTGCTTATTTATTACTTTAATCAAACCTTACAGTCAGAATAATGGAAAAATAAACTGCTTTTTTAAAGAATGGATTTTAGGCAATATAGTTTTAAGCCTCAGATTTTCTAAATCTTTAATTTTTGCATCAAATTAGTTCATAGTATTGTTTTCATTTAGCACATCATTTTAGTACTTGTTGAAGAACTTGTTGTTATAGTGAAAATAAGTTTCTTTTATAGTTTCAACTCTTTTCCATTTTTTTATTTCTTGGTTCATTGTTTTATTTAACTCATGCAATAGTATAATTGTAAAATAAAGTTTTTAAGTAAAGAAAAGCTTTAAGGCAATATTATAAGCCAAAGGATTTCTGAAGGTTTAATTTTTAATTCAAATTAATCCTTATTGTTAATTCCATGTAGGACCACTGCACAATGTTTATTGTTGTTGCAGTAGAAATCTGTTTCTGTTTGAGTTCCACTCTTTTCATTTGCTTGTTCATTGATTTTCTTGACTTTTTCAGTGAGAACAAATAAAAAATAAGTTTCTTAGTGAAAGAAAGGCCTTTACGTGTTATATTTAAAAGGTACATATTTTAAAAAGCTTTAATTTTTACATAAAACTAGTCACTGGTATTGTTTCCATTTAGGTCCACTGCACATTGTTTCTTGTTTAGTAAAAAAAACTTCTGTTAGATTTAAACTGTTTTCCCTTTTTGATTTGTTTGTTCATTCTTTTAACTTTTGCAGTCACAACTATAGAAAGATAAGTTTCTACTGAAAGAAAGGCTTTTAGGCAATATAGTTATAAGCCTCAGGTTTCTAAATCCTCAATGTAGTAGTCAAACAGGACTGTTGCACTGATGAAGGTTGCCCTTTGAGCGAAACAGCTGTCTGCATTTATAATATTTTTGTGCTCTTTAACGTTGTTTACCTTAGTTTGTACAGTGTTTCTTGTTATGGTAAAAATTAGTTTTTTTAGAATTTGATCTCTTTTCTATTTTTTTAAAATTTTATTTATTTGCTCATATTTTTTATTGAACCTTGCAGTGAGAACAATCGAAGTATAAGGTTGTTTGTGAAAGAATGGTTTGTAAGTATTATAATTATAAACTTCAGATTTTTTAAAGCTTTAATTTTCACATCGAATTAATCCTTAGTATTGTTTCTATATAGGTCTACTGCATAAGGTTTTTGTTGTCAGATTAAAAATAAGCTTCTTTAAGAGTTTGTCTATTTTTTTCTCTTCTTCATAATTCCATAACATATGGAATGATTGCTGTTTTAATTTTAGATTAAGTTTTAAATCTGAATTATGTTTCGTTCCTTTAAAGATTTTAATGATTTTTCTTATTATTCACATTCTTGGAAGATGGAAAGTTTTCATCTATTCACGGTAAAAACTTGGGAAAAACTTAATGATACAAGAGATAAATGCTTGAATCTTTGGCACAAATGTTGAAATTCAGAAAGTTGAAAAGGAAATGCTAAAATAATGTTGCCACAGTTATTGACATAATTTCTGTAAGAGTATAAAAATTGCTTTTTTTATATCAGAACTGATGGTATATCCGCAAAACTATAAGTTATGTCACGTGCTCCTAAACAGAAGGTTGTTTGAATAATATTGGCTGTTACTGAAGGATTGCTGATATCTGAAAACTCTTGAAATGATTAAATTATAATTTTGAGCTTGGGTATCATGTCTGCCACAATGTAATTCAATTAAGTAACTGAATTTCAAGATTTTTTTTTAATATGATAATAACTTTATTTGATCCAGTCATATTTCTTAAATATTTTTATGCAGATCTTAATTTTTTTACAGAATTATTTAAAAAAATTACTCGATTTCACTTTGAACTGAGATTTTACTGATCATTGTTTAACATATTTTATACTTAATATTTTAAAAAATTATTTCTTATATTTTGATATGTGTGTAACTATCTGGGAAAGGTATAAAGTTTACCTGTTTTATTTTATTTATTTATTTTTTATTTAATTTATTTGCTTATTTTTTTTTGAAAAATTTTATCCTAGTTTTTCTTTTCTTTTCTTGTTTTTTTTTTCCCTCTTAAATTCTGATTTTAATCATAAAAAAAGATATTTTTTTTTTTGAAAAATTTTATCCTAGTTTTTCTTTTCTTTTCTTGTTTTCTTTCCTTCTAAAATCCTGATTTTAATCATAAAGTAAGATTTTATTTATGATTAATTCATCACGTTATTTTAGTTGTGTTCATTAATCCTCCTTGTGAAACCGTCCAAATTTAACATATCCTGACAAATTTAATTTTGAATGTATTAGTTTTTCTAAATTTTTTATCCCTGATTTAGTGTTTATATATTTACATGTGAACTTTTTTTCTTTTGTAGATCATATCGATAAAGGTGTCATCTACTCGTGATAATTGCTAGGAAGCCACAAATTTGTTTGCATTCCTGAAAAATTGCTACCATTTATATTGTAAGTATGATAAATTTTATCAATAATTTTAATTGTAGCTGACAATTTTATCACTTTTAAGAAATGGTTTTAGATTTCCTTTTTCTTGAATGTATAAAATGTAGTTTAGTTAATTTAATTCTGAATCTTATGTTTTTGATAGTACACAAAACATTCTAGTTTTGCCAGAACAGTTTCTCTCAAAAGTAACAATGCTGATTTCTGATGTAAATCAGTTTGTTTTTTGATAATGCAAAATCTAAAATAATAATAAATAAAATAACATACTAGGATTTAAATTTAATCATTCAGGGTGGCAGACTATATTTTAAATTACAAAATAAGGCACAAAAAATTACTTTCTCTAAATAAACGTGCCTTTTTTTCCCCATCTTGAATTCTTGACCCTCAAAATATGAAATGGGGGTAGCCATAATCTTAAAAGTTGCATCCAGAGAGTTTGGTCAAAAGAGCGTTAATAATTTTGGATCTTTTCAGAGGACGCCATACCAGAGAAGAAACTTTTCGTCATAAATTCCTTTCTTTCCATTACTAATTTAAAATTTAAACGATCGAAAGAATGTGCTCTGGGAAACCTAGAGCAATCTATGAAGTTTATAATTTCTAAAAAAAAGTTCAAAATATAAAAATACAAACGAATTTTTGGAAGAGAATTTCTCCATTTTGTAATTCTAAGTTATCTTCTCCTTTATTTTCATTCTGATATTTTAAGAATTTCTTTTCAGCATTCGAAACTTCATGGCTTAATCCAGGTTAGACTGAACTCACTTTCTCTGTACTTTAAAGTTTAAATTAGTCATGATAAAAATTAATAAATATGGATTAAAAATGAATTAACAACCGAAAAAGACGCTCAAATGAATCAAAATTTATTTCACCATTTTCTTTAATAGTTTTTTTTTCTTTTAACTAACATTAAAGTTATAACAAATATATCTTATTTGCAGAGTTATAAATATTTCAACGTGGAATAACTTAGCCACTTAAAAAAAGTCAGACAATAAGAAAAAGACAATGTGAATTTCTTTAAACACCTACTTTATGCCATAATAGGATTATTCCTTTTTAAAAATTCTTTTTAATATATTTGCAATAAATTGTGAAGATTGTATTTTAGAGCTAGGAATAAATAGCATGTTCCTTTCTATAATGTTTATTGAAAAAAGTAGTCCATATTAAATAACTATTCCTTACAGATGATGTATGGTATGTGTAAAGAAACTACTTTACATTTCCACTTTCTTCATTTGTATTCTGAAAAATCCAAATGAATTATAAGATTTTTAAAATGACATGCTTGCTAATTAAAATTTATTAATATAGCAATAAGCTTATAATAAAATATATTTAAAAAATAATAATCAATTTAAAAAAACATTCTAGCGATTACATGTGTAATTATTTTTTAAAGTGGTATAAGTCTAAGGTTTTTAAGGGTTAAAGTTTGAATAACTTTAAAAGTATGGGAAAGATAAATCAATTTGGGTTATTTTTTAACACTATAATTTGATCGGAAGAATTTAAATAAACTTTTTATTTGCTCGAAATAGATTTATTCCACTTTTGGAAATTATGGTTCACGTATTAAAATGCTTTGTAAATTTTTAAATCTGGTGATTTTTCTTTTAAAAAGTCATAAAAGTTTTTTGAAAAAATCAATTAGTTTAAAACAAGGAACTCTGCCTGAAATGTTTTTCGTATTAAACTGCAACTGATTACTATTAAAAGATTAATATTTGACTTAAAGTAATGGTAACCTTGTTGCGTCTCACTCTATGGCATGCAGAATGCTGTCACTCATTTTATGTAAATCCCTGTATTAAGCATTAAATTATTTCAATTCTGAAACAGAGCAAAAGCACTTCTCATTGAAGATATATATAAAAAGAAAATCCTTAGTTATAAAATTTCTCGAAGGAAAAAAAAGTAATGATCTAAATCAACTTAAAAAAATATATTAGTTTTTATGAAAGTTTTCTGTAAGTTTGCTTTTTTAAAAAGTTGGACTGATAGTTTTTAAAAACTAAAAATCATAATACAAAGGAATTTCTTATAGTAAAGCATTAAAATGTTAATCTGTACAAAAAATTAACAAGATTGAAGTTGGCCACTGGTTAAGTATTGTAAGAAAGGGTCCTCTTGTTTAATTTTTTTTTTTTTGGTCATTTTACGATCCTGTAGATTTGGTCTAGCTCAAATGCTAAACAGTTGGAATAATCATTGAAAAACAATTAGTAGTTTGTCTCAGAGAAAAAAATTTCTCTTTATATTCTTTTATCTTTTTATTTGAGAGCTCTTATCTTCTCAAAAAATGCTTGAATAAATTTAATGACATGAAAAGACTCGAAAAGATTTTGCTACAATTTTTTTTTTTTTTTTTATGATCTTTTAATTACTTTAAAATATATTTCTTGGTCTTTTATTATAACGAAAAATATTTTATTTTTTCAGTGGTTTTCCAAGTTTTTTGATGCCACTGGAACAAGTTTGTTTCTTTTTGTCCAATTATTTTCCCATTATTTGATACCAATTATGTGTTCTTGAATTTGAAAAAAAGTATTAATCTAGTAAATAAGTAATTTTATTGTAAAACAGCTTGTAATAACAATTTTATTAAATGGCTATATTGTAATCTAGCTTTATAAGACTAAAATTAATAAGTTCATGCACAGGTTTTAGTTCTAATTTTAACTTACGAACAAAAGGAAAACGCATGATGACAGTAAATAAAAATCGCTTATGCACTATTTTCCTCTTTAAAAAGAGAATAAGATTAATTATTTGTTGCAGTTATCCCGGGGTTAAACGCAAAGTTTTAAAATTAATTTAAACTTTCCTTAGGATTTAAAATAGTATAATTTCCTGGAAACCTGCCTGCTGAAATATTTTAGTGTTAGCAGAATTATAAAGTTTTCACTGAAGTTTTGTCAGCTTTTTAAAAATGAACTTTGACTTTCACTAGAACATTCAGCCCAAGAGAGCTAATCTTCGATTTGGGCAAAATCAAGGGTTTTTAACAAATACTTTGCTTATATATATAACTCATGTAGAATCTGCAAACCATCGTCAAAAAACCGAATTTTGCTTCCATTTAAGTGACAAAGTCTTAGGTGAACATAATTTGCTGGTGAACTTCGCTCAGTTGTTAAGACAAGAGCAGTGAAAGGGAAAAAAACTTGAAGGATGAAATGGACAAAAAATATTAAGGAACAACAAATGAACAAATCAATTTTTCAACAAATGAACGATGCTATTTGAATTAGAAAGGGCACATAGCACAAGAAATAAATTATAAGAATGATTCATGTTGATCAACTTGTCTGATTCATGTTAATCAACATATGAATACAAAAGCATTCCAGCCTATTGTCACTAAACTGTTTCTTCCTGATTTGTGCATGATTTCGGTCGGTGGTCGATGACATCCAACAAGAAGACACACCATGCCCTAGTGCTGGTGTTGCACATGATCGGTTTGAAGAGTGTGTAGGATCGCTACTCTTCTCAGGTCTCCCCTTCTCCAGTCACCTGATCCCTATCTAGTTGAATGTGTGTGGGATGCGCTTGGAGGACACAGTACCTTGAAATCCTGATGACCTAACATTCCATCCACGATGCCAGTTTTCATAATGAAACAATCAATTATTCAATATATCAAGAAGCCCATGTCAATTTGAATTGCCACTGTTTAAAGGATGAAAGCGATGCACATATAATTTAGACTCAACTCCAACAATAATTATTAATGCTGCTATCTTACTCCATATATATATATCTTACGTGTACTCCAAATTCTAATGATTATTTTTTCCCAATCTTAGGTATATGTTTTAAAAATGTGTAAGTACTTTAACAGTAAAACATTTGGACTAAAATTATAAAACACTATGTTAAGGAATTTTTTAATTTTCGACGGATGTCCATCGCAGTTTCAGGAGATGGGAGGTTGATAGGGAGGGGGGTATCCGGAAAACCATATGGGGTATGCCAGGAAATGACACACTCTTAATGGTTTTTTGACGAAATCCCATTTTTTCTCAATTTTGTAGTTTTCATTTGTAGGAAATATTTTAATTGTAAAAGTTATTTTAATTTTTTCATACATAACAACAAAGTTCCTGTGCTTTTAGAGTTGGTTAAGAAGTAAAAAACAATCTGTGTGCAGGCCTGTTTCATTGTTAGCATTGAAGGCATATTTGATATGAAATTCTTAAACCAACTGCCAATTATTTGAAATTGTCAATCACCTTTTACCATCTCAAATAATAAAGTAAATTCAATATTATTTTTTAAAATAAAGGAAAAATATACATAACTTGTTGAAATTTTTAACTTTATTCCACAAAAATTGCCACAACAATGCACATGCCACTATATCAATAGACAGTTAACCATGGCCTAAATTATTCTCAACCTATCAATAAAATAACATATTATTTAACTTGAAGCTAAATTAAACATGTTAATTAAATTTGTTGTTAAAAAATCTCATTCAAATTGATTTTTTATTAGTATAAACATTTTTAGGCTGGTTCAATTCTACCTGCAATAACATTGAATCGACTTTAATATTGATTGATTGTTGTGTGATAGGTTTGGAATACATTAGATATAAAATAATTATATTCATGAAATTATTGCAATTATTGTTCATTGTTTTAGTCGTCATTTTGAAGTTAAAATTATTTCAAATCTTAAAAAGCATTTTGTATGAGACACAAGGCAGAGATTTTAAATTTTAATCTAATTTTTTTTTAATTGAGTGTTGAAAATTTTCGATATTTATAAAAAAGAAAAAAATTCACTACCTAAAAAGAATCAGAAGCAAAAACTGCTAAAAGCTAGTTGAAATCTTCTTTCAAAGTTTTTATTATGATTATTATTTTCTAATTCTCTAACAATTAGGAAAAAGTCGTTTTTTTATTCGTTTAAAGTTATTACCTAAGAGAATTAAGTAAAACTAAATTTTCATTAGAGTTTCACTATAATATTTTGCTAAAGTAGAGAAGTAAACAAGAGTAAATTTGATTAACTGAATATTATTTCGAATAAACAACTAAAATAATAAGAAATAATTTTGAAAGTTTTCTTAACTTTACAAATGCTACAAAATCTTTGCATCAAAAATTTAGAAAAATTTAATATTTATTTCTCAAGCATGCAATTTTTACAATCTATAAACTGAAATCAGTGGTTTTCTCCTATCTATTGTGTGTAACTGTTTTTAAAATCCTTGTTTTTGTCATGTCTCTTTCAGTGTTAAATATTTTAAAGGTTACGAGTTTTTCGAAGACTAACTAGTGAGTTTTTACATATTATTCTGTGTTTTAAACTTCCCGTCCCATAAACATAGAGTTTGTCTAAATAAAGAACTCCCCCACACATTCATCTGGACCTGTGACGGTGACTATGGTAACGAGGTATAACTATTTTAAGTAGGGGTACGGGGTCACTATTTTGATGAATATTTATTTTCTCATTATATCGGAGAGAAAGGGAATCTTTGTGCGGTCTATTTTGTTAGTCCTAGAGAGAAGCTACCCTCCCTTGCACCATTCTTGTTTCCATAGCACCAGACGGTCCAGACTTTGTATCAGTAGGAGTTCTTAGCTTAGATAAACTATAGATAATTCCACCTGTTCAAAGTTACTCTATAAGCATGGAATTCTAGTTTCCACCCTACCAATAAGTCAGTTTAGGAGTTTAGTTGCATTTTATCCCATATTCCCTGTTTTTCAGTTGTCTTGTCTCTTTCAACGTTGAATATTTCAAAACTTCGGAGGATGAGTTCGGCAAGTTAAGGCACTATAAGACTAAGCCTTATGCTTCCACATCTTATTCTGTTCTTTATGCCATCCACCCCTTGAACATAAATATTTCAGACTATTCAATGAGACTGCATAAACATGTGACTGCTTGCTACCCCTCTATCACTAAGACAGCTTAGAAGTAATGTTGCATTTATCCCATTTTCCATGTAGTTTCATTACCATACATTTTTGATTGTTTTGTATTTTTATATCCATTGAGCTTGAATGCTTCCACCATTCACCTGAGATGACTTAGGATTTTGATTGCCCTTTATTCCATAATCTGTGCAGAGTGTTTTTTTTCCCTATAAATTTTGAATGCTCTGTATTTTGAATGAATGCTTCTACTGAGACAGTTTAGGATTGTGGTTGTATTTTACCTCATATTCTATATTGAATGTTTTTTCATGCAATTTGGGATGCTTTCTACTTTGAATCACCTGTCTATCAATGCTTCCACCCTATCCACTGAGATAGTTAAGAATTTTGGTTGCATTGTATTCCATATTCCAACTTTCTTTCTGTTTTATTTTTTTCTCTTACATTTTGATTGTTTTGTATTTCTATTCCTTAAAAATGAATGAATGTTTCCATCCTTCCACTGATACTGTTTAAGATTTTGGTCGTATTTTATTCGGTGTTCTGCGTTGAGTCTTTTTTATTCTCAATACGTTTTGGATGTTTCGTAATTTCTTCATGCACTCTGAATCATTTGTATTTTTTCCATACGTTTTGACAGTTTCATATTTTGTCCATGCATTTTGAAAATTTCGTTTTCTTCCATGCATTTTCAATGTTTCTTATTTTTACCACTTTCAATGTTTCACATTTTTTCCATACATTTCCAATGTTTCGTATTTTTTCCATATATTTCCAATGTTTCGTATTTTTTTCCATACATTTCCAATGTTTCGTATTTTTTTCCGTACATTTCCAATGTTTCGTATTTTTTTTCCATACACTTTCAATGTTTCGTATTTTTTTCCATACATTTTAAATGCTTCATATTTCTATCCCTTGTGTATGAATGTTTCCCCCTTCTAATGAGACGGTTTTGGTTGCATTTTATTCTATTGTATTTTTTTCCCATACATTTACAATGTTTCGTATTTTTTCCATACATTTTCAGTGTTTCATATTTTTTTCCATACATTTTCAGTGTTTTATATTTTTTTCCATACATTTTCAGTGTTTTATATTTTTTTTCCATACATTTTCAGTGTTTCGTATTTTTTTCCATACATTTTCAATGTTTCGTATTTTTTCATACATTTTCAATGCTTCGTATTTTTCATACATTTCCAGTGTTTCGTATTTTTTCCATACATTTCCAATGCTTTGTATTTTTTCCATACATTTCCAATGTTTCGCATTTTTTCCATACATTTCCAATGTTTCGTATTTTTTTCCGTACATTTCCAATGTTTTGTATTTTTTCCCATACACTTTCAATGTTTCGTATTTTTTTCCATACATTTTAAATGCTTCATATTTCCATCCCTTGTGTATGAATGTTTCCCCCTTCTAATGAGACGGTTTTGGTTGCAATTTATTCTATTGTATTTTTTTCCTATACATTTTCAATGTTTCGTATTTTTTCCATACATTTTCAGCGTTTCGTATTTTTTTCCATACATTTTCAGTGTTTCGAATTTTTTTTCCATACATTTTCAGTGTTTCGTATTTTTTTCCATACATTTTCAGTGTTTCCTATTTTTTACATACACTTTCAATGTTTCCTATTTTTTTCCATACATTTTAAATGCTTCATATTTCTATCCCTTGTGTATGAATGTTTCCCCCTTCTAATGAGACGGTTTTGGTTGCATTTTATTCTATTATTGTATTTTTTTCCCCTATACACTTTGAATGCTTCGTATTTTTTTCACGCATCTTAAATGTTTCATATTTCGGTTTTGGTTTCATTTCATTCAATATTTTATGTTGATTTTTTTTTGTACATTTTGAATGTTTGTCTATCCCATGTGAGTTGTTCCCTTTGTGTTATTACTGAGACTGTTTAGGACTTTGGTTTCATTCTATTCCATATTCTGTGTTGGTTTTTTTTCTCTTTTAATTTTGAATGTTTCTTATTTTTGTTCTTTTATTATGAGCGTTTCCTCCTTTCTATTAAGTTTTTTGGATTTAGGTTGTATTATATTTTGCATTCTGTTTTGATCGATTCTTTTCTATATAATTTTAATGTCTCATATTTTTTTTCCAAGCATTTTGAGTGCTTCGTATTTTTTCCATACCTTTTTGAATATTTCATATTTTTGTCCATGCATTTCGAATGTTTTGAATTTTATTCCACATATTTTTAATTGTTCATACTTTTCAATTTTCAATGTTCCGTATTTTTCCATGCATTTTGAATGTTTTATATTCTTCCTTACACATTGGATTAAAACTTTCAGAATATATGTTTTTTTTTACCCTACCCCTGAGACTGTTCTGGTTTTTGATTAATTATTTTTCAATGTTCTGTGTTGAGTGTTTCTTTTTGATTCATTTTAAATAACACAGATTAAAGATCCTAATTTAGGATCATAGATCCTAAGTCATCTCAGGTGAATGGTGGAGGCATTCAAGCTCAATGGATATAAAAAT